TGATGTTTGGAAACCTGTTCCTCAATGGATTTTGATGGACAGGACAGGTCCAGTTGACAGGCCCTCGAGTTCTGATTCTTGGCCACTCACTCACCATGGTCACTAGGGGCAAATACGTGGGCCTCTTAGGCTCACAATCCTCTTAGCCTTGAAATTATGGCTCTGAATGTTAACTTCTTAGTTTTGACAAATGCACCATGATTATGTAAGATGGTGACATTAAGCAGAGCAGTAGGAAGGGTGTATGGGAGCTTTTCACTGCTTTGCAACTTTTCTGTAAAATCTAAAATCATCATTCCAATACAAAAAGTTTATTTTAAAGGGGCCTTGGTCCATCTTCCCTGTCTACAGGGTGCCTCTCGGGTCACTCAGGACCATCCCTCACCCCCTCTGTCTCTGCTCAGGTGTCGTCTTCATTGAGACCCCCTGGTCGCCGTCCCCACCTCCCGTGCTCTTGTCCATATCCTACTTACTGCCATTTCCATGTGATTATTTCTAACTTAGCCTCATGTCCAGGCTGTCAGGCTGTCAGCCTCCTCCCCATAGGGATGTGGTCTGTTTCCTTGGCTAAGGTGTCCCCAGGGTCCCAGAATAGGGGCTTCAGATGGTAAGTTTCCAATGAATAGTTAACAAAAAGGAGGCAGGAGGGACAATGACAATCAGGAAGAAAGAGCCACCAATGGGAACAAAGAAGACACAGTGACAGCTGCCCCTAAGGTCTAGGGTTGATTCTGAGGCCTGGTAAGCTGCTCCTCCAGCTGTTTCCCCAGCACAAAGCCAGGTCTCACTCGCCCTGTCCCTGTGCTTCTTAGCCCAGGATATGCACTGATGATCGAAAGGCATGACACCCTGGATGGAAGGGGAGAGAGGGCCTGGGGTGTCATCACAGACTGGGCTGGGGACTTGGGGCCTGTTTCTGACCCTTGGAAAAGAGAAGGTGTTTTCTAAAAGGGGTTTTGTTTCAACACCAGGAAAGCAAATAACTCAGTCATCTTCAAGGATAATTGGGTGTTAATATTATAGTTACCTTAAAATAGGTGCCACTCTGCAGTAGCAAAGAAGGCTTCACACAGATGCTACCACATTCACCAGATGTCATCAAGCAGGTGTCGCCAACTGAAGATGGAACGGGAAATGATGCTTTTATTATGTGTGGCACTGGGGATCGAACTCAGGGCCTTTGCTGAGACACATCCCCAGCTCTTCTTATTATTTTATTTTGAGACAGAGTCTCTCGCTAAGTTACTAAATTGCTCGGTGCTTGAATTTGGGATCCTCCTGCCTTAGCCTCCCAGAGTGCTGTGATTACAGATGTGTGCCAGCCATGGAAGTGATGCTTTTTATTAAAGAGAGACTGATGTAGAAGTAAGCGGTAAGGGAACAGCTCAGAAGAAATCACTCCTTCCTTTGCCCTCTTGGCTTCTGCTTTTAGCTCCTACACCACATAGCACAGGAGAAATGTAGTGACAAACCTGCAGTGCCACTGAGTAATGGGGACTGTGCTGAGCACTGTGCAGCCACACCACAGAGCAGAGTTTCCTCTTCTTCATAATTCTTTTCCCTTACTGTCTTTGGAGTCTAAGGGGCAGCTTAGATTTCCGGCCTTCCTCCACATGGTCTTTTCACTTGGCTGTGGTTGCATTCTACCATGACTGGCTGCCAGTACTGAGCAGGCAACCCCAGGAGCACCCTTATATGCTATGAGATGTAAGCAGCTCCACTCCCATGTGTTTAAAATAACCATCGAACCAAGAGCAACATATTAGGTGTAATTAGAAGGCAAGTGAGACATAGTCTGCCCCCAAGAAGTTCACCATCAAAGAGGAGCCCAGGCACCAAAAATAGAAAACCTGCAGCACTGAGCAAGTCTCAATCTTTGTCAGGAAACTGAGGAAACAAAATCACCTTGACCCAGCTGTGACATCAGACACTGGTCTGCTGCTCAGATGGAGTTGTTGCCCTAGAACCAGGAGATGGTGCTGTACCAGCTCTGCATTGAGTCAGACTGACAAAGCCAGCTGTGTTCCATGGCTCCTACTCTCCTAACATTGGGACTGATGATATTTTTTGTTTCAGATTCTCAAAGGCCAATTGGAAAAATTCCCCATTTCCATCCAAAATGTGCCATGATTTAAGATGCTTTTACCCAGAGAGAGGTCAACATGCTCACAAACCGCCCCCCCCATCACTGATACATGAAACATGTTTACTTTACTCTTTGTACCACAGCATCAGATGCATCCAAACCTGGCTTGGACCCTGCATGCCCAATTCTTCCAGCTGAGGCTCATGCACGTGTTGAAATGAACTCTCCAGATCCAGCACATTCCCTGTTTGAGTTTTCCATATCTCTTGCATCTCTTTCTCTACCTGTCAGTATTTTACTCAACTCACTCTTCCTTCAAATAAGAAGGCAAAGAAAATGAAAGTCAGAATCAGTCTTTTTCTTTCATTCTGCTAGTCTTTGCATGGCAGATGCCTCTTACAGTGCTATCCAGCGTCCTGCCTAAAATAACCACAGGTGGTAAACCTGATGGAGAGAAGACTTGTAATTCTCTCACCCCACTTTGGCACAATAATTTATAAAATTCAAATAGCAATAATGTAAGAAACAGGTTTTATAACTATGCCAAGGCCTAATTTCAGGAGTTCCTGGTGGGTAGGAGGTTTACTTTTCATTCAGTGCCCTTTTTTACTGCCTGCAGATTTCCCTTGTGCTTATATAAGTTTCATTATTATAAAAACTAAGGAGCAGCCATGGCCAACACTTATTACGCATTTACTATGTGGTAACCATTTTAATATGCATTGCCTCATTCAATCTTCCCAACAGCCCTAATATAATTTCTTATATTTTCCATTTTATAGAAGGCACAGGGAGTCAAAAACATATTCAACATAGTCAGGATGTACATCTCTTGACTACTGACATTTTATGGGAATAGAATTATATGATAGAGACAAAACTGCCTGGAGAAGTTAAATTACCTTACAGAGTTGGGGGTTCTGTCCTCTCCATAAGGGCATATGTTTATTAAGTAGATGCCTGCCGGGTTTGTATCAGGAAGTCATGCTGCAATTCAGGGTAGGCTCCAGGATTTTACCTGTTCATCCTGTAGCTTCCACTTCTCAACCGTCCCAGTACTGGATTTATTTGGCATTGGGGATTTCAAGCTGAGGGGATTCTGGCCGTACAATGTTGGAGACTTTGTTCATGGAAACGACCCGTCTTGCTCCTGCAGATTAAATAAGCATGGTGTGTCTGGGCTGCTCTCAGTGGCTGCTGTTCTTCCCACACCTACAGAAATGAAGGGTGCATAGACTGGCTCTGCTGAGTTAGCTTCCAGGACATAAATCAGAATTCCAAGGGCTCAGAGTTTGAAAGGAACACCGTGAGGGAGCTGGTCCTTTGCAAGTATCACCTCTTCCAACATTTGGCTGATGTAAATAAGCTTCACAAGAGCAAGGGCAATTATCTTAGCAACAGATAAAAGTACAGTCAATGCATTTTGTGTCTTGATGATTGTACAATGTTTTTATTTTGTCTAATTTTCATATCTTTCAGGAACAGGTTAGGGCAGTGAGTGTGTTTCTCTGCAGTATACCTAGTATGCATGATTTCCAGTGGAAAGATGAAATTATTCATACCTAGCATGAAGCTAAGGGTACCAGCTGCTTGTTTTACTGTGTTCCTCTAATCCTGCCATTAATTTTGGTCTTGAAATGGCCAGATCCCTCCCCACGAGTTCCCAGCTTATAGACTGATTCACTTTTGGGGGAATTCAGGTTGTATTTTTTCCAATCACTATTTTTTCCACAAGCATTTACTGAGGACTTCTGTTTGTCACATATTCTCTTAGGTGGCAAAATTGAACCAAGAATCAACAGAAGAGGCAGATAGTCTACCCTAGAGCACATAGTCTAGTCAGGGAAGAGGCAACAGCAAAGCAAATCCATGAAGTGTCAGTGTATTAGAAGGTGACCAGGTCCTAGAGTGGGAAGTGCACCCAAGGCAAGGGTGTGTATGTAGGCCTGGGAAAGAAGGAAAGGAACCTTTTCTTTTTGGCACCGGGGATCAAACTCAGGTCCTTGTGCTTGCGCAGCAGACAGCGAAACCACTGAGCTAAATCCCCAGCCCAGGAACCTTTTAATAGTAGCTGATTTGCACAGAAAAATATCCAGGCCAGATGCTCTGAGGCTTTGCAAGCCATTTTAATGACTTGGACTTTCACTTTGTTTGAGATGAGAGACAATCAGAGACTCTGGAGGAGCAATGGTCAATGTCTTGGGGTTACTGATGGAAATTCGAAGTGTATGACAGCTCCTGAGAATGGCCCCTGGGCCAAACTAAGGGGCTACTTAGACCCTGAGGATCTGAACTCTGAGCCCTGAACACCTCGCACAGGAGGTGGGGACTGGATGTGTGCTTCCATGGGGTGGCCATGGAAGTGTCCACTGGTGTCTCTGAGCCCCACGTTCCTCTTCAGAGAAAGAAGGCTAAGCCATGTCTGTTCTGTGGACTTTATTGTGAGGTCTAGTGCAGACTGAGTGTAGAAGCCCTCTATACATGGTGCAACCCAGCGCAAATGCCGTGGGGCGGAGATGGCACTGATGGCTGTGGTTGAGTGAATGGTACTTCAGCGAAATTAAGTCCTCCATCAGAGGAATACTGCTTTGGCCTCCATCCTTCCTCCTGGATAGCCATGGAAATGGGCCCCGCCCCCCGTCATCCTGTTCTGGGGGAGGAGGGAGACAGGGACACAGGGGATGTCCACAGAAAGTGTCCATCGAGCCCGGGTGGAGTAGTCATGACTCCAGGTGCTGCTGGGTGGCCGCTAGTTTCAGGAATTGGTGGGTCCATGCTGAGGGCTGTCTCCATGGTGGCACCCTTCATCCTCTCATTGTTCTGATGGCCCACCAGCCCCACTTTAAGCCACAGGGTGTGGGGCTGGGCTCAGGTAGCAGCTGTGCGTAATCCACCTGTGTCTGTTTCCTCCCAGGCACTCCTCCTATGGAAGGCTCTTGGATGACCATGACTACGGGTCCTGGGGAAACTACAACAACCCTCTGTATGATGACTCCTAACAGTGGAAGGTGGCCCAGTGTGAGGAGGAACTGCTCTTTATTTATAAGTGCTTACTCAGTAGAATTAATATCAAGTACCTGATGTGCATCGAACGACAATCTTAAGGCCTGTTTCTTTGGTATGGTTGTTATCGTTTTCCTCTCTCTCCTCTGGAGGCCACAACATCCCCTTTTTGGTATGTCAGAATCCTGATTTCCAGGTGAGTGGTGCTGGGTGGCCACTAAAGGGGTGAGACCTCTGTGGCAGAGGCTCTGGCACCCGTCCTGGACCCACTGTGACAAGGACTGGGGAGAAGGTTTGGGGTTTGGAGGGATTAAGTACTTTTAGGGGAACTTTTTGGTTATTTCTTAAACTTCTGTATAGGAAATTACATTAAGGTCAACAGAGAGCAAGGAAATAAGTCCTGGGCAGCTCTCCCCCTGCAGTGAGGAGGCAGAGGTTGCTCAGATTCCCTTGTAATCTGTTTACAAGGTTGTGTCTGACAGGAGCCTGCCCAGCCCTAGAGCCCACAGCTGCTTATTAGCTGCCTAATTAGTGCCATGAACGTGGGCCCTGGGAGGGGGCAGCAGGACAGGGCAGAGCAGCAGGTGGCTGTCTGATGTCCACCTGTCTCTACCTGTTCTCCCTCCCAGACCTCTCAAATGCAAATGGGGAGCCCCTGGGCTTCCTGTGAGGGGATGCACTTAGTGACCTGAGAAGGGAGAGGTGTGGAGGAAAAGAGATGAAGCACCTGAGTTCCTGCTGGGGAGCAGATCCACTGCCTGGAGGAGCCCAACCCTTGCTTTACACCCATAAAGCAGCTGGTTCACTGCCTTATTGCCTATTGAGGGACTGTTGTAAGCTGTTTTAAAAAATAAAAAAGAGGCACTAGTTTATCTGCATTTCCGCAGGAAACAAGCACCATGAACAGTCCGTTTACTCATTCTCCCCTTTAAAAAGTGAACACCCTGGGGAGCTGGCACTAAAATCTTGCACAACAAATATTGAAAACTCACTGTCACCCTTGAAAGCATCCATTTATTCCAGCCATTCTCAATGAAGAGGTGATTTTGCCACCCCACCCTAGGACATCTAAAAACATTTGGTGGGATATTTGATGGCCTCGAGATGGGGTTCCACCCTGGGTAGAGGCCTGGACTCTGCTAAACATCCCACTGTGCCTGCGACGTCTGGTACCAGGAATTACCCAGCCAAAGCCTTAAAAGTGCTAAGACTGAGAACCCTGGTTCATTGCAGTGCCCGTGACAGAACAAGACAATCTTGGATTTGTCACCACTTTTATTTTTAACAAAATGAAGGGATGTGTCAAGTTTCTGTCTTAGTTTTCTGGGTGATGGGTTGTTTCTTGGCATGCATGGCTGCCCCTCTCGCTTAGGTGTTTCTGACTTTATTTCAGGGCTCCACCTCTGTCCTTCTCTATCCTCTGGTGTTACTGTCATCTCACATCCTGATTTCATAGAGTAGAAAACACATTTTAAAGAGTGCCGTGTCCTACGATGTCACAAAGAACATGGCACTGCATCAGTAGAGATGTCAACAGTATAGATGCCTTGCCCTGTGGCTCTGTTTTGGAAACAAACAGGAGCAGCACCTGTGTTCCGCCTTCTGATATTCCTAAGCCCCTTGGGTCCAGAGGGAGTTCGCCAGAGGTTCCCACAGCCAAAGAGGGGAAGGAAGAAGGAGCTGGTGGGAATTAGGATGTCTCTAAATTCAATTCAGTGTGGGTCATCCCAGAAACAAAGCGTTCCAGGTGCCTCCTGGCTGTGCTGGCCTTGAAGAACTGTCCCACCCCTGTCCCACCCCCTCCACAGGGCTTTCTGTCCGGCAAAGAACAAATCAATAAAGACAAGACCTTCCATAAGACTGTGTCCTCCTCACTCAGCCCTAAACATCTGGACACAATGTCCGGGAAACACCTTTGGAGAAGGGCACATCCGGACACTGCCCCTGTCCTCTGTCCTGGGTCACAGGGACAGCCTCTCCCAAGACCTCTGGCCTGTTGAGAGCTACAGAGTGGCAAGTGCCTTTGCTTACCAAAGGCTGCTAGCCATAGAGACAGCACAGGGCTGGTTTGTTGGTCTAATTCACTTCCAAGCCTGGTGGCAATGAGAGGGGTCTGGGCCTCGCTGCAGTGCTCAGCAAGGTGAAAGCTTCCCATGAAAATTCAGACATGCTTGTTGTATTGGTTAGTATTAAATACTTACAGTGCAGCCTTATTTTGCCAAAGGTATTTTTTCAGCTTTGGAATTGGCCATTGAATTTTAGTAAGTGTATTGTACAAAAGTTACTCAAAACACACACGTGTGCAAGCACACACTCACACACACCCCTGAAATAGATACTGACAACTGACATCCTTCCCGTCAAGGAGAACCTATCCCATCCACCCGAGGGAAGCTTCGATGCCTTTGACAGCCAAGCCCACCAGGGCAGGACCCGTCCCCTCTGCAAAGAGGGTGTTAGCATGGGAAGGAAGTAAGCAGCCTCCTCTCCATCCATCGCGCCTGAGCACAGAGCACAAGTCAGCTGTGAGTTCTTTCCCCAGAGCCCTGCAGAGGTGTCCTGCCCTCCACCTGTATCTGTCATCTTGAGGAAGGCAATGCTGTCACACTGGCCTTGCTCCTTCCTACCTCACAGAGGTGCCGTGAGGACTCATGGAATCATGTCTACAGTGTTTCCAGTTTCTGGAGAGACGTATTTATAGACTTTAAATATTGCAATGGTATATAAGTGATCTCAGTTTCTTGTTTGCTGTGATACTTAGGTGTTGTCTTTCCTTATTCTATAAAATTTCAGTTGTGTCCCAGCCACATCAGATAGCTGTGATTGCTCAGAACTGCCCAAGCAAAGCGGACTAGTGGTGGAGTTCACTGTGCCTGGGGTCCCAGAGGGTGGTGTCCATCTCCTGATGAAAGAACAGAGGACAAATTGGGACACAATTGGCCTTCAACACCCTGAGGTCTCTGGATTCCTTGTGTAGGTGACTGTGGTCTGATGTCACCAGTTTGCCCTTCATCTTGCTTGCAAGGGTGCATGGTTCCTTCCCTTGCATCTGGGAAATGAATTTTGCTATTGGGTCAGATGCTAATTTGCACGTTGATTCACCTTCTTTGCCTTTAACCTTTTGTAGGGCAAATGAATGTACTATTTCAGCTTGGGTATAAAAAGCACTAGAAGATACTGGTAATAATGCTAAGCAAGAATTCACTGCCAGGTTTCTTTCTTAGGGGAAGTTAGCTGACATCATGGAAAGAGGGAGAAAGACAGGCAACTTCTTGGATATGTGATATCATTGTTTCTGTCATTGTTGTAAGACCTGTTACATACCAGCTATAATTGTACCAATTAAAGTTGTTAAAAGCTGTGTCTGGCTATCATGATACTCATGTTGGTGTGATTTGTTATTCACATCATTTACTTGATAAACCACTCATGTTCAGTAGCTCTGAATTATTCTTAAAGAAGATTTATACCACATCAATAAATAATATTTTTCTGCGGGGCAGGAAGGTCTCCCTGTTCTTGAAACAGAATTGAAGTATGCCAGCACTGAAGAAACTTTCCCAGCACCAATTGTACGCTCACATATTCTGTGTGCCTTACATAGCAGATGTAGGAACAAACACTTTGATTTAATGAGTTGGGTCCACAATCAAGGCTCAGTAAGGGATATTGGCATTAGCAGTACCTGTGATACTTGCTCCACTCCCCTTCAAAAGATTAAATTCAGCATATTCATCTTTATCTGACAGCTAAGTAGCAGGCACTTTCACCCATTCCAAATAGAATTTCAGCCCCCACAAGCTAAGGAAATACTATGCCGGTTTAGAAGAAAGTAGCAATGGCAAATCCCATCATTTTGTTCCATGGGAGGACAAGGCCACCTGCAAGCTAGAAGTGTTGATCCACCCTCTGGTGGATGTCATTTGGGACAGATTTAGAAATTTAATTCTCTGGCCTCCAGTGACATGGCATGAAGACCTGACCGGGAAAAACAAGATAGAAAATGAGGACAAAGCAAAGAAAGAGCCTTGCCATGGATTGCCTGGTGCTGAGAGCTGAGTATCTCCCCAAGGCCTGAGTGGGGAGGCAGTAAAGCCTTGGGGGAATTTAGGTCACTAGGTCCTGGCCTTGAAAGACATGCTGGGACCTGACCTCTTTCCTTTCCCTCTCTCCGCTCTGGGCTGCCTGCAGGCAGGCTGCTTCCTCTGCTAACTGCTGTGTTCAACCTGGTTCCAGGCCCAGGAGCAAGGACCAACCAGCCATGGACAGAAACCTCTGGAACTGTGAGCTACAGCAATCTTTCCTCCTTATAAGCTGTCTCAGGTATTTTGTTGCAGAGACAGAAAGCTGACTAACATATTTGGTTATTTCTTGGACACGCTATGGGCACAAAAGCAACGAAAGACTCCTTTCTTCCAAGTTTGCCTTAACGGAATTGGACAGGAAGCACTTTAAATATGCACAGAAAGGAAACACTTCATAAGAATATGTAATGTAGCTGGGTGTGGTGGCACACACTATGATTTCAGAACTCTAGGAGGCTGAGGAACGAGAATCACACGTCAAAGCCCAACCTGAGCAATTTTTTGACTTAGCAAGACCCTGTCTGAAGACAGAAAGAAAGAAAGAAAGAAAGAAAGAGAGAAAGAAAGAGAAAGAAAGAAAGATAGGAAGGAAGGTTGGAGTGGAGATGTAGCTTAGTGCAAAGATCTTGGGTTCAATCCCCAGCACCACAAAAAATAAAATAAAAACTAATGCATATATGTATATATGTCATAAAAGTCAACATATTATAAATTCTTAGTCAAAATCAACATTTTTCTATATTAGAGCTTTTCAACTATAGTTTTTCAATTATACCTTTTCAGCTTCAGATCATAATCTGTATCAAGTATATAATAATCTATCTTTAATCTTTTACTCTCCTAAAATTCAATGTCACTAACAGTTTCTAGCAAGCATTTCTCATCCTTGTCAGAGAGCAGTGATGAAGAGTCACCCAAAGCCACTGACTGAGCTGGAAGAGCCCTGTGCAAGGTGGGAGCACCTCTCTGCAGGGTCTCATCCTCAGAACACCCAGGACACACACACTTACTGCACCAGACACGATTCTCCTATCAATCAACAGATGGCTCTAACCTATCCTAACCAAGAACCTCAAAATCCACCGTAAAAAGGAAACAACTCTAATATTTATCAGGAAACTTAGGTGCCGTGGGCATTTTCTGCATCCACCTTCAAGGTCACCATACCGTCTCTACCTCATGGGGGGCAACTGAAGCACCAGGATAGTAAACTCATGCATCCACATACAGAATCTGTCCAAGCCCCCTGCAATGTATGAAGTAAACAGGATCTATACGTCCATAGAGCAGCAGAGTGGGGCTTAAACCAGAGCCCTTAGTCTCTTTTTCCCCGAGGGCCTGTCCCCATTTTACTAACAGGAGCAGCCCAGCCCTGGCAAAGGCCCATCTACTCTTGGGCACCTGCTTCCTCAGGCACAGTCACCTTTTTTTTATATTATTAATTTTATTGGTACATACTAAGTATACAATATAATGACATTCATCATTGGGAATTTGCACCTTTACATACTCTATCTTGGTTCTTCTTTTTTTCCACATTTCCCCTGCCCTCCCTTCAACCCCTTCACCTCTCCCTAATTACAAAGATTTTGTTTCCATTTTTTTCATTTTCTCATATTAATTCCATTCCCTTCTTTCCTTTCCCCTACCCCTCCCACTTTCCCTTAGCCCCATTTCTTCCTATTTCACATTATCTATTATACCTTTTAGTCTTTATTTACACTTTCAGTTTCTCACACTAGAGAAACATTCAGTATTTACACGTGTGTCCTATTTATTTCACTTAAGAGTATTGTTTCAATGTGCATCCATTTAGCTATAAATGTCTCTAATTTCTCATTCTTTATGGCTGAGTAGTACTCCATTTTATAGAAAAACCACATTTTCTTTATC